GTTTGCTTGTTTTACTATCATCTTTAGTTTCATGTTATCTTGGAGTTTTGGTAGTTTCAGTCTCTCGTTTATGGGTGAAGATTTCGTAGAAACGTATTCTTCGAGAATCTCCTGTTTGATAGTATTATCTGTTTGATCTTCACTCATATCTTCTGTATCCGGCTCAGTTGTCACTGAGTCCAACTCACGTTGCTCTCTCACTTCGATCCGTATTGCTTCGCTTACTTTACTTTTCATCGCTCTTATCATATTTTCATTAAATTTTCCGCTGTTCAGTAGATATCTGCGCTGCGTTGCGAGCTTCTTGGAATCCATGTACGGTCTGCTATTAGGATTCCTACTTCTCCACATGTTATAAACCTCTGCTTCGCCTATTGATTGCTTTGCATTGGTATAGTAGTAACACCACACCAGTTCGTTAATTTCTTCATAACTCCAAGGCCTTTAGTAAGTTGATTTATTCGATCTCCTTAGAGCGTTGTTCAAGTGATGCTGGGCTCTGACCATGTTCATCAGGGTAACCAGCAGCTCTTTCCGGATGGTTTTCTGTGATCGTTATGGTGTTGAGTCCGGTTTGAAGGGTCCTTTGTGTTACTGATCTAGTGGCGTATGTTGCGTTTGCCTGTGTTACCACAGCTGCGTAGTCTTGGTTTTGTCCATTCTCGTTCCTTTGTCTATAGCCTAGGGTGCTGTTAATCCGGGAGGATGCGCATCCATCACACCTTCACCCCTTCAGGCTGAGCCGCACGACGGTTTCCGAAGAAGGGACCAGCCTCAATCACCTTCCCGCCTCGTAGTTTCGTCTTACTTCTCGTATTCATCTACAGTTAATTATTTTTCACATTGCCTCCGAACAATGGTGCAGCTCAGGGTTTGGCAGAATAAGAAGACTACCAAATCCCGAACTCCCCGTCTAGGGCCGTGGGGGCGACGCTCCCCATGTACCTTCCCTTAAGCCCGGGTCGAAGACCCGACCTTAAAGTAGATACCCCCTGCGGGTTATTATTATTATTATTATTATTATTATTATTATTATTCTTATTATTATTATTATTTTATTATTATTATATTATTATTGTTATTATAATTATTATTATTATTATTATTATATTATTATTATTATATGATAATTATTGTTATTATTCTCATAATTATAATTATCATTATTATTATAATAATTATTATTATAATATTTTATTAATATTATTATAATTATTATTATTATTATGTTATTATTCTTATTATTATATAATTATTGTATTTATAATAACTATTATTGTTATAATTACTATATAATTATTTTTATTATTATTATTATAATTATTGTTTTATTATTATTATGATTATTATTATTATTATTATTATAATTATTATTATTATTATTTTTATTATTGTTATTATTATTATTATAATTAGTATTATTATGATTATTATTATTATATTATTGTAATTATTATTATAATAATAATAATAATTATTATTTATTATCTTATTGTATTATTTCATTGAACCTTTAACTACTATTTAATAAGTGTGTTAATGAAGGCGTGTGGCCTGATGCTTTAAATTGTCAAAGGTCATTCCCATTCATAAGAAAGGGAATGAAGATAATCTTGATAACTATAGGCCCATCACAATAATTCCATTAATAAGTAAATTATTCGAAATTGTAATCAAAGAAAAATTAATAAGTACTTTGAAAAGCACTCCCTCCTTTCAGCTTCCCAATTTGGTTTTCGGAAGCACTGTTCAACCATTAAAGCCATGCTTAGTTTTCTTGAGGATGCATTAGAGTGCATTGACAAGAGAACCACCGCTCTAGCAACTATGTGTGACTTAACCAAGGCTTTTGTCTGTGTAGACGCAGTTATACTGCTTGACAAATTGGGAGTACTATGGGATCCGTGGCAAGTCATCCCAGCTTATGGATCATACTTAGTTAATAGGAGACAGATGGTTAGCCTTGATGGAGTAGAATCCCAGGTTCTACCGATTACGAACGGGGTACCCCAGGGCTCTGTCTGGGCCCTCTATTATTTTTAATCTACATCAATGACCTCCCACAAAATGTCAACAATAGCAAATGCTACCTTTTTGCAGACGACTACTCTGCTCTCCAAGGCTACCCAACTTGACGAGGCCCACAGTCTAGACCAGGTTAAGCGGTGGTTCTCCGCAAACAAGCTCAAACTTAATGAAGCGAAAACCAGTACGCTAAGAATAACTTCCGACAAATGGAATGAGACTTCATCATCCGTCAAGTTATTAGGGATCGTTGTGGATAGCCGCTTGACCTGGTCGGAGCATGTGGACCAGGTGTGTACCAAGATCTCCAGACAGATGTTTATCATGAGGCAACTGGCTCAGTGTTTGCACAGACAAACCATGAGAACTGTATACTTTAGCCTCTTCATAGTCATCTGTCGTATGGTATCATCCTCTGGGGTAATTCTGTCAAGGCCCAAAAAGCATTTACAATGCAAAAGGCTGCTATACGGGTTTAGCTGGCGTCTCCTACGATCATACGTGCCGCGGTTTGTTTCAAAGAGATGCGCATACTGCCGTTAGCATGCCTGCTCATACATGAGACCCTTTTACATGTTCACGCAAACCTGAGTACTTTTTCGATAAGATCAGAGACACACAGCTATAATACAAGATACGCTAATGATATATCATTACCGCAATCTAGGATCGCCATGACACAAAACAATAAGATTAATGTGTCGCTTTACAATAACTTTGTTAGATATCATAAGCGGTCCAGTATTGAGAAGATGTCTAACAAACAGTTCTCTAGGTTCGTCAAAAACTATTTGTTAAAAAACTGTTTCTATACTGTAAGTGAATATTTAAGTGCATGTGATCCTAGTGATCAGTGATCGTGTGTAGAGCAAGAAGACAGACTGTATAAACTTTATCTAGTTTGTGACCTCAAACATGTATCTATATGTAAAGTGGTCAATAAATGGTATGGTATGGTATGGTATGGTATTATTATTATTATAATTATTATTATTATGATTATTATTACTATTATTCTTATAATTATTGTAATTATTATTATTAGTTTTTTATAATTATTATTATTATTATATTATTGTTATTGTTTTATTATTTTATACTATTTTACTCCTCTGTCGAAGGTATTAATATTCCCTCAGGCGGTTAGCCAAAGTAAGGAAATAGATCTGCAGCGGTCTTTTCACCGTATCCGGTTCTCATCTCCTAAAACCCTACGTACTGTCCTACATGTTCCCAGCAGTGCAGCTTTTGCAGTTGCAAGTATTATTTTTGGATGGAGCTGTAGCTTTTCCAGACTCTTGTGTAGTTTCCGGTTCCTTGGTATCTCTCCAGTAGCTCCTATTATAACTGGTATTATAGACACATTGCCCATTTCCCACATGCGTTTGATTTCGTCGGAGTGGCAAATACTTATTGATTTTTTCCGCATGGGTGGTTTGGATATTAGTAGGAAGAGGCACAGCTATGTCTATTATAAACGTCGTTCTTTCTTCTTTCAGTGTGGGCACGTATGTCAGGATATTGTTGGGGATGGGCCTGTCAGTTATGATTTTACGGTTCCAGTACAGCCTAGAGGTCTCCGTTTCTATCACAGGTGGCGGCGTGTATTTATTATTATAATATTATTTTATTATATTATTATATATTATTATTATTATTATTATATTATTATTATTATTTATATTATTATTATTATTA